TACAAATTGTAAATAAATGAGACATTTGTTTTGTTTTTTGTCATTATTTGTTTGCAGATAAAATGAAAAGAAAAAGAAAAGAACTAAAATGATAGACGAACGAATAAATATAAAATGATACTTTGTATGATTTGTCACGATTATACAGTGTATAATAGACTAATGTTATTACCAATGTAATTTCTCTATTTCTATAATGACTCATAACGTTTAACCTTTCCTATTATATATATATATATATATCTTTTCGTTATCTTCTTCTTCTAATAATAATAATAATAATAATAATAGTTTGATTTCTGTATATTATATTATACGAGTACATTCTCAACGATCGGAGTCATCCAATTATATTATAAGTTCATTACTTTCTTATCTAATTAACATTTAACGTTGAATCATTAATAATAACAAATTATTACATAAAATGTATATTGTTAATTATTATTTTACAATTTGCCAACACGAATAAATTTATGTCTTTCTTTTTTTCACAAGCATTACAATTTATGTTCAACATCGACAAATATAATAATATAAAAATAATAATATAAGATATATTTTTTAATTTACAACGAAGACTAATAAAATATATATGGTGGAAAAAGTGAAAAGCCAACGTTTCTATAAAATTCGTTGCTTCGTAGAAAAAATCCTAGAAGATGCTTGTAGTATAAGTAGATATTTTTTAGGAATAGAAAATAAATTGTTATAGTAGTAAAGTATAATATTCTTTTCTTGAAAGCTTTAAAACTATTTTAGCATTTTATACCTGGAAGAAGAACCGATAGAAAACCATCATGGGGGACACATTTTTTTTTAGATAGTTTTTTGTCATTTTTATCTAGGGTCAGTTCTTGTTTGTACTATGATAATAGACTACCTAGTATAGATTTCTTTTAATAAAACAAACGATTATCTTTTTGAGCTTACAAAAGTTTAGAAGATCTAAAATTCCTGTCTTTTTTCAATATTCTTTTCCTATTATATAAAAAAAGAAAGAACAACCTTTTTTTCCTTTTTCTAATTCTATTTTTTTAAAGGAAGAAAAATATTCGTGACCTTCTGGGAATACGACTTTCCATTGAAACATATTCAAGAATTAAGGGGAAGGAAGAGTAGTGATTGATGGTGAATGGTTGTGATGGTTGTAATAGTAGTAATAGTTGGTGGTGGTAAAAATTTGAATCAGAAAATATATCGAAAAATAATAATTAATAAAAAGAACAAATTGTTGTTATTGTCTATAATAAAATAATTGAAGTATTCACGTGGCACATCTTTTTGTAGGATTCTTAGTAGGTGTGACACATCTGGTGGTTGAGTTATTTAAAACGGGTTATATGTGCGCGCGCACGCACGCACGCACGCACGCACAAAGCTTGCTTGCTCGCTTGCTCGCTTGCTTGCTACCACATTACCCTCAAATGCACCGTAACACAGGCAGGGCTGTGCCCGCTCCTCGTCGTAGTCGCGTCGTTGCATTTCACGCGGCCTGAAGGAGGCTATTCGCCATCATATATTTGCGCATGCGCATAGAATGTTCTGTAACTCTAACTCTCTTGCCCATTGGCCTGCTGCGCACGCGATCATCTACGTACGTACGTTCGTGTTCTCCTCGGCTCTTTCTGCATTTCTTTTGTTGCTTCGAGGTTTGACTATTTCTCTCAGGGACGTACCGATTAGCCCCCCGATTTATAATATATGTATCTCTTAAAAAAACAAGTTTCTTTATATCTAATATTCGTTATTTTGATACAAGTTTTCGTTTGTTCTCTTATCTTTCTTTTTACGATGAAATTACTGATCGATCGATTGATCTTTCCGAATGAATAACATTTTTTTCTTTTTTTTTCTTTTCCTATTGTATATTTCACGATTATTCTATAAATGGTTTAGGTAGGCGTCTTTTTCTTTTGTTTGTTTTATACCTGAGAGGGAAAGTTGGGGAGAACACATGGGGAGAGACAGAGAGAGAAAGAGACCTTCTTCAGTTTTTCTTTTTGTCCAAGGTCAGTTTATTATAGGATCACGACAATTTTGGGAACGTTGATTTTCTTACGAAAACTTAACGACAAATTTCATCCACGAATAATTGAAAATTTGTTTATAACAAATTACGTCTCATAGGGAATAATTTATAATTAATTTTTGTTCTCAATATGAGTCAAATAAGACAATTTTTTTTTTATTATTAATGATAAATAAAATACTATTTCAAATAGTTAATAATAAATAAGCTATTGTGTTTAAAAAACGTATGTTAAAATTTTGTTAAATAAAATATATATGCATGAGAAAAATTTGAAATATTATTTTATTTACAAATTTAAAACAATTTTAATCAACCCAGGGACTGTTTACAACTAATCTAATTTAAAAGTAAATAAGTATCTATTTTACGTAATTATTAAGAAAAAATATTAGGTATATATTATTTTGACAGCGAGTGACAAGTTATTTTAAAAGAAACCATTTATTTTTCATTCAAAAAGTATCTCTATTCTCTGATTTTTGAAAGAATCATAATCCCAACCAATCACAGCCCAGAAAGATTGTAAGAAGAGAGCATAACCCTATACGAGGGTTGGGGCTATACGATTTCCCATAGACAGCACTGTCTCTTTTAGTTATTTTCTAAATCCCTAGAGGGCTACGAGTCGCAATTTATACAGTCCTTATGGGAGAGGGAACTCTCACTCGTATGAGAGAACTATTCCATAACGTTTCTAATAGTTTGTCGATCTTTACGTAATACACAAGAAGAAGAATAATAATAAGAAGAACAAGTAGAAAATCTTTGTTATACTCGTGGAGTAGCCATCCACCGAGGATAGCAACAAACACTCTACGAAGTGTTTAAGAATAAGAAGAAAAGAAAAAGAAAAAAAAGAGAAAAAAATTCAACGAGCGTGACGTTTCGCATGCGTCGAATGGCCTTGTGTGTGTCGTCGGGGAACACGTAACGTGAAATTTCTTCTTCGGTACCTGAAAATAAGTGTTCTTCTATTGGTGCAGTGAAAATTTATTTTCCAATTGGGAACAAATGTGTTCGCGGGCGATAACACTTTTTCGTTCGCGCGTTCATTCGTAAGAGAAAGAAAAAACAAACGTACGTATTCAATAATACATACGAAAGATGTACATACGATAGTTGTTCATCATTCGTTTCATTTTATTTTGCATTAACCGTTTAAAAGATATCTGCTGTTCGTCGTCGTCGTCGTTGTCGTCGTTGTCGTTGTCGTCGTCGTCGTCGTTCCATTGGAAATAAAAGCGATCACGCTTATAACGTCTTTTTCTCCAAAAAAAAAGATAGAAATAGATAGATAGATAGATTAAAACATATATAAGTTTCAGTTGCTGGCGCCGTAAGCGCCGCTGCGTGGTACCGTCGTCGTCGTCGTCGTCGTTGAATATGCCGCCCGCCAAGTGTCTTTCGCGTATCATTCGTACTTGCAAAATCTACGCCATCGATTAATTTGCGTGTATGAAGAAGTTTATCGTCATCGTCATCTTCGTTGTTTTGTTTTCTTCGGTGCGCGATATATAACTATATATAACGAATAAAACAAAGTACGACAAACGTGTAGAAAGAAAAAAAAAAGAATTAATGAAAGTTATATGGTGCGGGCGGGGTAAAGGGAAAAACTAGGAACGAGCGCGCTGTTGTCGCCAAATGTGAATACGGCTTTAGTTTTCTTGCGCGCCGTTCGGCAAATTTCGGCACGCAACCGAAAGTTTCCGAACAGCCGAGAGCGCCACACGGTGGACAGAGAGAGAAGATACTACTCGTCGTCAGTGGCGCGGGGGTGGTGGTGCAGGATAGAAAGAGAAATAGGAAGAGTCAATCACACCAATGATCGTACACTGAAAGAGTGAGATAGATACTAACAACAAAAAGAGGGGAAAGAGAAGAAAGAAAAACGGAAATCCCGTAGGAAATTAAAAGCACCATACGGTAGAGAAAGATATATACATACATATCTATATGTATAGAGAGAGGGTGAAAGAGAGAGAAAGAGACTCTTTCGATACTCGTGATAAATGCGTAATCTATCCCCACCATTTTTGCTTCTCATCTTCATCCTCGTAGAGAACCGGAAGAGAGGGAGTGAGTGAGTGAGCGAGAGAGATGGGAAGAGTCGGCGCCGTAAAGAGGGAGTAGCCGATGTCGTGACTTAAATATCGATTTTGGCACGGATGAGCACCAATAGCCCGTTTACATCGGTTCCTTCCGTTTTTTCGGTTATCGTCGCTGTCGTCGTCGTCGTCTTTCCTTCGTTACCGACGATCTTTCCATGTACGCGCGCGCGCACGTGTGGATTTCCATTTTGACCAAAAACAAAAGAGAGATAAATAATTATAATAACGAAATACACGATAAAGAATATAAATAAAAAGAAAACAAGAAAACAAAATGACATGCAAAGTGGTTTATCATCCCTTTCGGTACGAGCAACGGCGAAGAAGAAAAGCGTGACGACGATATACGGATAATTTAGTCAAATAAATCATTCAAAATTTAGTTCTCTTTTAATTAATGCAACATCGTCTCGGTATAAACACGGTATAATAATAATAATAATAATAATATATAAATAATACTCTATTACTCGATAATATAACATTATTAGTGTAATATTAATATAACAACGAAACAACATATATTTATCGTTTCGGGGTGCATCGACGCGTTTTAAAAAGAAAAAAAAAATTAATCCAACGCTCTCGTATTATTCGTGGTCACGTGCGTTCGAGATCTATTCTACTCTATACCACCACCACCACTACAAGAAAGGAAAGCAGCACGCAACGTGGTGTGTTAGTATATTGCGTGTGCGCGCTCGCGCCCCGCGCTTTATGTGTGTGCGCGTGCTCTGTTATACACGGTGTCAAGAGAATCGTTGAGAGAGTGTTATACACGAAGAGAAAAGAAGAAGGGGCGTGTATATCTACAAAGAAGAAGGTGAGGGGGGAGGGTATCATTTTGAAGTTTCGTGCATCTGATTTATTTTTCAAAAAAAAAAAAAAAAGAATAGAAAAAGAAAAGTTTCCTCTTTAGTCGACAATAGAAGAGGAGAAGAGCATCCCATTCGAGTATTACCGACTGGGGTGGCGGCAGGACGAATTACATAGTAGTACATAGTAGTAGCGGTAGTACGACGCACGGCGGCCATCGATAACCTCTTCGACGAATTTCGTGAATAGTCGTCGATCTTCGTTCATTCGTTACTCGGACGTCGTCGAAGGTGGTCGGTTCGGATCGGGTCGGTCTGTTCGGGACGGGTCGGTCGATCGGTCGGTCGGTCGGTCGGTCGGTTAATCATTCGCCCGACACCGAAATAAAAACATCATCCCTTTATTGTGTATAATAAAAGGGAGAAAATTAATATATACATAATTAATACTCACATTTTTCTTCTATTTCTCTCACATTCTCTTTCTCTCTCGCTCTCTCTTTCTCTCGTGTTATTATAATTCGAATAATATATGTGATACGCGCGTTATTATAGGAGATTTTGAATAATAGTAAGAGAAAAGAAAAATCGTTAACCCTTTTTGTAATCGCGTTCTTCCGTCGATAAAAAAAAAACGCAAATATTATTTCGAGTTAGTGAACGCTTCTTCTTGCTCTCTTTGGGAGAAAACGGCAGCAGCGCCGCCGGCAGCAAGCAGCAGCAGCGGCGACGACAGCAAGCACAGCAACGCATCGCTAACACAGAGTATACAGCAGCAACGATATTCATGTGTTCTTTTGGTAGCAGAAACGAGGCGCGTTATCATCATCGACACGTTTATCCGTCGTACATCATCATCTTTAACGAGATTAATACAAGGAAGGAGGATACGACGATAAGGGGTATAAGGAGACACGGAAAGAAGGATATTGTGGTTTCGATGACGAATTTACAAAGTGGTTAATACAACGAACGATCGACGATCGTATCGTTCGTTGTCGTCGATAACAGAAAACGATGACGTCATGGTGCTCCATCGCCGATTAAAACGCCCGTAAAAAACAGAAGGTAGTGTTGGTTAAAATATTGATAATAATAATATTTTTTACACCAATGAATAAATCTCAATAAGAGCCTATATATATATAATGTAATATTACACGCACGCTCTACTTTATAACGAAAACGAACGAAAAAGTAATAGAACAAAAAATATAAATCCATCTATTATACTCAATTTTTGGAAAAGAGTTTTAAAAGCCGCAGTTTTTAAACGCGTGTTGTTGCCCCTTTTATGATATTATAACACCATACCTTTTATATATACCCTCCCTTTTTTATTAATCTTTATTCTCCCAAAAAATAAGCATTAAATTCGACATTAGAGAATTGTCGGGAATTAAAACGGAATATAAAAAAAAAATCAATCAAACGAACAAACAAACAAACCAAATCAAATCAAATCCAAATTAAATCAAACACACAAAACGCGCGATCTTTAACCAACGATCTTGGACAAGGAACGTCGGTGAGGCCGGACAAGGACCCAACGGCAACGGTGGAGAACGTAGACCAACCACGAAGATAGGAATCGAACATAGGAATAAAGAATGGTGTCGAGGTTTGGAGTATCGAAGGAGGGCGGAGTGGACGTCGCTGCCGTGGGAACCATGCAATGTATATTAGGACCTCATCACCATCATCATTACCCGGCACCACATCCACAAAATCCTCAACCGGGCCACCATGTACATCATGCCACTCATCCACCACCACCATCGCCTAGTCCTCATTTAAACCATCAGCTCAGTCACCACCAGATCGCAGTGAACATCAACCAAATTGGTCAGCAGCTTGGTCACCAAGCGCCACCATTACGTGTTTTCACACAGAATAGTAAGTATTGAAGAAAGAATTCAATCTTTCCCAAGTTGATGATGATACATACATTATGTAGTCAAAGTATTGATAGATAGATAGATAGATAGATAGATAGATAGATAAATAGATAAATAGTATTAGTTAATTTATCATGCATTGATCCTTGGACGTAGTAATTCGCGCATACGTATTATGGATTAAAGAGAAATGTGCTTCTTCTTCTTCTTCTTCAGGTCACTGACGTTTTCCCACATTACCCCTTCGACATATTTTATTTTTCCCCTAAATACACTTTGAAACGTGCTCCTGGTGAATGCATAGGCATTAATGAAACTTTTTCTTTTATTTATTTCTCTTCAAACCGTTAAATCTTAATGCATATAGGTTATAGTAATTATGGTGAATTGTAACTGAATTTTTTGGTTTTTTTTAAATAGGACACCAAGAGTTGAAACTTTATTTTATTTAATAAACTATTGTGTTGATGTTGCTAAAAAAAATAAGAATATTCAAACACTCTCTTTAAGGGGATAATACCGTGAACAATTGTTTTGTCTTTGTCTTCTTTACTAATCAAAATTAAACTAGCAATGAAACCTTAACCCTATTTAATGTTTTAACAAACGAGTCAGACACTCACACACGCAGGACCTTACGAAAATAAATAACTAAACTCGTCATAGTCAAAAAGCGGTAGTAGTCAATTACATTTCATCTTCGATTAATAAAGATCATCATCATTGTTTTAAAATACGATTGATTTTATTGATACTATTTGTTAATATTAAATATCTTCTCAATTTTTATTCGAGTTTGATTGAATTTATGATCTGATTGGTCGTCTTTTGATTCAAAACTTATATACTTGGTATATAATAATATATCTATTGTCTCTCTTATACTTATCTATCTTAATTTTATTTAAATTAATAGAAAAAATTAAAATACATATAAATATATATAATATATATATATAGAGAGAGAGAGCGAGAGAAAACTACTAACTATGACTTTATAGTTAAACGATCGATAAATCTACGACCATTGCCTAAGCCAGGGCTCAATCCAGACGTAGTGTTCCGTACCCCACCTATATACTTGCCCGTGTGCTACTAGCTAGCTAGCTTGGCGTAGCTGCTTCCCCCACCTAAGAAATGTTCTCTCCTTGACGTTCGGCAGTGAGAACCAACCGTAGGAAGGTGTAATGCTGCTGCTTGCGGTGGAGGGGAGGGGATACGTGACAGTAGACAGAAGAGACTAGTACCACGAGAAAATACCGCGCTAGTAGAGTGGTGGGGAAGAAAGGGGGTTGGCGGAGGGTTTTAAAGATACATATTCCTCGTTGCGTTCTTGCATTAGTGTGTGTATGAGAGAAAGAGAGTAGGAGAGACCATCATCAAAGAAATGTGGGAGTTAAAAGATTACGCGATTAAAAGATTTTCATCACTTTAAAATTGCATTCTTTGCTAATAAATAAACCACCACCACCACAATTTTTTTCTTTTTGTTCTTTTATTATGATTTTATTCAAATTTAGTGTTAAATTATTATAACTTCTATTAATCACGTCGGGACTTTCCCACCGCCCATCATACCCATCATCATCCCCACCATCGTGAATCAAAATAGATGAAAATTGTATTTTATTTTTGAACGACATTCGCATGAATTTGTGTGTTCTATCTGTTATTATTTCGCAACATTGCATTAATTCAAAAAAAAAAAAAAAAAGTAAAAAAATAAAAGATCATTTACACATATGCCTTATCATGGGCTTTTAGCTATTATCTTTGATCATTCGCTTAATGAAAAATGTTGTAGAGCATGTACTTAAATTTATATTGTGCTTAACCTAAACGTTTCTTAAACGCTCCATCGTGGATATGTCATTTATTGACCAATGGAAGCACCTTTGGTTTTTACGTTATCATTTTAAATACAATTCTTTTGATTTTTTTTTCGTTCTTTCTTCTGATGATGTTTTTTCTTTTTTACAAATATTTATAAGATATATACAATATAGAAAATTAAAAATACAAATGAATATATTATATCTCGAAAAATGGCCTCATTTAAGAAAATGTAGGTTTGTCTACTGATAGAGGAACAAATGTGTATAACACAAGGCTGAGTTATTTTCGGGTATGCGGAGGGGTAGTTAATCTGACCCGGTGACCTATCTGTTCAGGAGTCGAACAGCTTGCCTCTATTTACGGGTACACGGGTGATGGACTCTCAGGTCGTGCAAGAATGATTTGTGTCCATTCAATGAATCAATTATAATGAGAAGATGTCTGAAGATGCGTATGTGTATTTGTCATCAAAGTGTCCAACAATTTCGGATGAAGAAGATTCGCGACAAACGTGTTTGTTTTTTACCCTATTCAAAGGACAAGTCAACAGTTCTTTTTCTCAGAAATTCTTTTTCTCAGTTTTGTGTTTCGATTCTAATTTTGTACTATTTAATATAAATTGTAATAATAATAATTGAAAAGATCATTGTGAGTACATTTGTAACACCAATATAAATTATGTGTTATCTTTTCACACTTAATGCTTGCAGCACAGTTAGAAAATTAGATCGTCAAATAAATTGATTTGATATCCTTCGAGAAACCCCATTTACCACTTTCACTCGTTTCAAATCTTGATATTATATTAAATGGTAATAGAAAATATTCGATTTAAACATAGTTGCAAACAATCGTGTCGAAAGTGAACGGCCTTTCGTATTTGACGTTCACGTTTTGCCGGCTAGGAAGAAGAAGAAGAGGGTGGGGGGGGTGGATTTTTAATTCGCCATTGAAATTAAATATTCTTTTCTCTGTCTCTCTGTCTCTCTCTCTCTCTCTCTAGATAAATTACTAGATTTTTGTTTATATTTTTCTTATTTTCGTTTTGAAAAAATAAAAAAAAAAAATTTGTTCAATTAATAAAAGAAAGAGTTTATTTTAATATCGATATATGTATATATAATGTCGAAGAAGTTTGGTATTATAAATCAGAGGAGGAGATTTTGCGCCCTCGCACGGAGCTTGAAACAATTGGAAATATAGGTCAATCGATAAAATGCTTTTCGCCTTGTGTGCCATCGTGAAGGTGCATTCAATCCTTTCCCTTTTGCCATGATACGTATCATCGGAACAACGGCCAACCCTCTCTTTCATTGTTGTTTCATTGTTCATTATCGAAAGACTATTCTTGATAAGAATCCTAACATTAGAATAAGGGTTGAGGAAGATCAGTTTATTCCTAATTTCACTTATAGTTAGTCACATTTGATTCTACTTCCTCGTGTCTTATATAATTTATTAAATAACATAATAACAACAACAACAATAATTCAAATTAATTTAACACTAGATATACACCAAACGCCAGTTATTTTGATTGGTCGGGCCATTTTAATTCAAAATTTCTGCAAATAATTAAAAAATGTCTACAAATTTATTTATCTAATAAAATTATTATTGCGCTTAACATTTTGTATCATTTTTGAAGAGTAAATAAAGAAGACTGGAAGCAAAGCTGAAAAAGCATTTTTGTTTATACACCACCAGTCATTTTGACTAGGGTGGTAGAAATAGGGATATTGAAAATGGCGGTATATATAGTGTTAACATTAATTTTTGACATCTTTTTTAGAAACATTTGTATTAGATTCGTATATAAAGATACCGTAAATCACGTTGAATGAAATTTTGAAAAAGAGTTAAAGAAATTGCTCGCTTAAAGTGTATGTGTCTGGAAATGTGTGTGTCTCTGCTGTACGGTCAGCGAGAAAGAGAGAGGATGAGTATTATACATACACTGTCCTTGTCTTCCGGTCAAACATTTGACATACTTTCGAAGCATCAGAAGACTTCTCTTCCTAGAGAAGAAGAGGTCTCAAAGTAAGATAAAACGAGTCGACCGAGTTGTCCAACTTTAAATGGATTCCAAGGATAAAATTCAATATCCGTTTGTAATAATTTAATTGTCTTATACATATACATATACGTATATATTTAACATGTTGAACGCGTGACTGATCTGATTGGATTTTTCTTTTAAGACAATACACAATACAAATGTTGTCCAAATTCGATTCCACTCTGATGTCTATTGATAATTATTCAAACGGGAAAAATCTTGTTTCACGTAGTATAACTACGTGAATGTTTGACGTTTTATAACTTTATTATATTTTAAATGAAATATCAAATATTGAGTGTGAACATTATTATCCTTATAATCTTTGTATAAGAGCATTGTTCAATTATCATATAAATAATCGCGGTTAGATGATGTGGTGTAGTAGTACTTTATTTTAGTTGGTCAAACATCCTAACGTAAAACGACAGAAGAAGGCAAACAAGAATGACAACAATGTCGAAGATTAATTTAACCAACAATATCCAATTAGAGACGACTATAAGGAAAGAGAGACCGCATTTATACGGTTCTTCTCTCAACGGTCGATATCACGTGGCCGTCTACGAACCACGTGACACTCTCTATTCGAATATCAGCATATATAACGTTTACCTTCGACTAATAAATTGTATTTTTTTTTTCTCTTCTTTATAGCCTAAGAATATTTTATGTATCGCTCGATTGTCCATTAATGACTGATAATGAAATGAAACTGTTGGATAGGGAAGGGGTGGGGTAGGGGAAGTGAGAATAAGAGAGAGAAAGTGATAATTCAAAAAGTGCGAAGTCATATAAGAATAAATA